AATTAAATTATATGCCATACAAAGGTATTGATTTATTAATTAAAATATAAAATTTATTTTTAACGATCGAACATGTGTGTACTGAAAGTTGATCTTTTATGAAAAGATTAATGTCTTACGTTGAATTTGATATGAATTTTTGAAATTAACTCCTAGAGGAATTATTAGTATTATTCTATAGATATACAAATGTTGATACTAGCAAATATCTCTCGACAGTATAATCTTTTATAATATTTATAATATTGATACGTGAGCAGAGAAATAAGGGTTTGTTTGAACTTTTTCAAAGTGTTCAACATAATGAATTTGGATAAAAGAAAAGTAAAAAGTACATTTCGCACGTCGCAGCACAAGATGCTATTAAATAACATTTACAAAACATATCAAACAATAAATAAAAATAATATTTTGATATCAAACATTTAAGTAACTGAAAAAGATTTGATCGATTTTAGTTGTATAGAAGATAGAGTTGTAAACGTTTGTATTTTGCACTAGGTTTCTCTGCCTACGATTTATTAAAGGTTTTTTAAAACTCAATATTAGTAATCAATTCACATTTTGCATAAAAAGTATGAAAAAATTTTAAACGTTGATTCCTGTACAGACTTGAAACTGTATCTTCACTAAAAAGCCCGAAATCTGTGGACCCAGACTGCGCAAATTTATTGCGAACTTTCATACTCACTAATAATGTCGATGCAATTTTATAATGTGCAATAATAGATTGTTCTACACATAATAATGATTATACTCATAAAAATAAAATGTTATTCATAAAAAAATTATAAATATGTTTTCAGTGTAAGTTATTGATTTTTTAGATGTATGGTTTGAAAAAGAATTTATTGAACTTTTAATTTCAATGTATATTAAATAATAAACTTTAAAAAAAAAATGTAAAAAAACATAGATATGGATCAGAAATCATAGTAATGTAATAAATGCATGTATTTTACAGTAAGTGTAATAGCAAACAAAGTAACTTGCTATTTGACCCTTACGAAATTGTGTTCAATACAACTGATACTAACAGGCTGCTTTGTCTTATCACAATAGTCTGCCCAATCTCCTTCGCTGAGATCTACGTTGTTAAAAGTTGTACCACCATCAACAGAAGCTATCCAGCCTTCTCTAGCTGAAAAATCCTTGGGCTCTAGCCCACGACAATCAAACACAACGATAGTTTTAAACTGATCACAAGTGTCCGCTTTAATTTCACTAATAGTGTCCGGCAAAATGGTCAGAGAGTTTTCTCTGGCGCACAGCTTGCACTTGGTGACGTAGTGGGTGACCCCACTGCCCCTTTGAGCTGGCTTCTCGTCTTCTAGCATAATATAATTCCACTTACTTGAGACCTCTCCGCAGTTATTGCAGGCAAATTTCATGTACCACTTGAACGATTCCTCCTGAGGCTTCAGAGACTCGATATTTTCAAGGTTAGCTTTCACCTGGAGACCAATTTTTACCATTTTCGTTGTACTTTAATCTGAAAAAGTCGATTATTGTAACACTTATAAGTCTGTTGGAAATATTTTTTGTTTACTTTGCTTAAAACGGTAAATGCAACAAAACTGAGCAGAATGAATGAAGATTGTAATAGTTAAAGTTGCTGTACGACACTTAACACAAATGTAACTTGAATTTGCATAAATTACCTAATCAAGGGTTCAAGTTGATAAAATTATAAATACTTAATCTGCAATTTTCTACGCAGTTGTAACACATAAACTAGACATAAACAGCCAAAGTGCGTATTAAGTATCAGATCTATTTTATACATCAACACAGTCGGTTTGCGATCAGCGCCATCTAGCGCGGCTGAGTATCAGAGTAATCAGAGCAGAGTTTAAAATACCCCTAAAATTATTATATATAATATATTTATATGCGTGTATGGTCGACGGCAATGTGATGGACATTTTGTCACACCGACCGTCGATTTGTCACATACGTATCATACCGACGGCTAAAACAAAACAACCGACGGTCGATGTGACAGGATAACTACATTACTGTCGATAATGCAGGGACCCTGTCTTAACCCTGATAGAGGCCGTCGGTACACAAGCTAGGGTACCGGCTGCCCGCTGTAGGAGGCGCTTTGTTTGAAATTTTCTAATTATATTTTTCTGATGCAAGAATTAGAATTTAATATATACATATATAAGATTCTTAATTATTATTATTATCATTATTATTATTACAATTGCAACAGTACATGTACATAATATATATGTGCAAGTGGATTTTTGCAAATGCGTGTGTGTGAACGAACGGTCGGTGATGGTCTGCACGGGAGTCGACGCGTGATGTATTGAACATCAGTACCAATAGTATACGTATAGTGTAGTATGAATAATAGTGTTATACCGATAAACAGTTGGGATTGCGTATCAAGTATATAATGTAGCCCGAGAATAAATTGGGGATGGCGAGCAAGTCTGATTCAGTGAATAATTATCACGTACGGGTATACGACTAGTTTAGTAGAAAGTAAAATGTAGTGGCTCAAGAGAAAAAAACATTTAGAGGTCGATCGATGAAACTAATAAATTGGAAAAAACGCACGGTCATGTAGTTAATGGGACTTAAATTATGACGCTAGGGTATATGTAGATGAACGATTAGGCAGATAAATATTATACATATGATTGCTGAAACTCATTCCTCTCGAGACTATGCGATCGTACTCGATTGCACTGATTTTGAATATTAATGTTGGTGCTACCAGATTATTATCATTGCAAGAACATGTCTGACTGTTTACATTAGCTCGATTGGATAGTTCGACCTTGTTTGCATTTCAGCGCAATTTTTACACTTTTCCTATAGAAATACGTGACTTCCATTATTAATTAAATTATATGCCATACAAAGGTATTGATTTATTAACGGACATTGTGTCGGACCACAGTGGGCCGGAGTACAACAACAACAACAACAACAACAGCTCGTCGGTGAATTTCTCGTCCGACGCGAGCGCGAGTAGTCTGGATCTGCTTCAGCAACACTTTGACAACCACAGCAGTGGCAGGTCGTCGACGGGACACTCGCGCCGGCAGCTGCGAGGGATGGGCTGCCCGAGGAGACAGAGGAGGCGTAGGCACAGGCGCATCAGTCTCGACTCGAGGGACGAGGAGGACGAGGACAACGAGCAGCGGGAGGAGGTCGAGGTGCTCCAGGAGATGCTCAATCGCAGGTGAGCGAGTGTGGAACAATATCTCTCCCCCCTCACTCAAGGTGTGTAGCGTGACCACAAGTTGAAAAAAAAAAAAAAAAAAAAAAAAAAAGGAATTTTCTTTTTTTACCCTCGGAAAGTTTCGCGATGCCCCGCAGCCAGGGGAGCGTCTGGGAGGGTCCGAAGGACTCTCGGGAGAGTAGTTTCGAAACTCAATTTCATTGGAAATTCCTTTGACGGAGTCCCCGACCGCTTCATTGAAACGTTACGCGCTCGACAGACTTCAATTTCCCATGCGATTGGAAAAAAAAGGGGGGAAAAAATAGAAACTTTTCACACAGAGGGAAATTTGATGAGAAATATGTAAAACAAAAAAGGAAAAAAAAAAAAAAAAAATTGCAGGCTAAAGAAGAACAAGAGCGAAGTGTCGGCGCAGACGAACCGCGCGCTGCTCGAGCGCCTGCTGATGAAGAACAGCGGCTTCGAGGGCCGACGGGCTTGGTCGGCCAATCCACCGCTGAGCAGAGCTGCAGCGAGCCGGAGCCTCGGAGGGACGCCGATTTGTCTCCGAAGGAGGACGAGTCCCCGGCACGTGCTGTCGCCCCCGTCGAGGCTCGGGTTCGACAGACGACGGCAAGTCCATCCGGTGGTTAGTTGACTTTACTTTAAAAGTTATTGAGGGAGAAATTTTAATGAAAAAAAAAAAAGTCACTGGTCTCCATAGCCATCGTCGAGGGTAAACATTCAAACAAAAAAACCTTTCGCAGGAAAGCACGGGCTCGTTGAAAAATGTATCGGCCTCCGAGCTAGCTCTCATAGAGGCGGACAAGGAAGCCGATCTCAAGTACGCGCAGCTGATCATGGAAGCCGAGCGGATGCTCCTCAGCGCCAAGGAGGAGCTCGAACGGGACGAGCCGAGCAACCCGTGGAGCTCGTCTGGCTCCGTCGCCGTCGACAAGTGCTCGCCCATCAGCAGGTTCCCGCGCAGAGCTTACCAGCAGCCAACCTGCACGGGCATCGCGCCGAACAAACGAGTCGAGCTCATCAAGAACGCCGAGCTTCACATCGAGCTCGCCTTGTCCAAGAGCCGCAACTCCCAGCCCGAGCTCTCCAGCGGCAGTATCAAGGACCTCCTCGACCACTCGAGCCCCAAGAGACTGCAGGTGTGTATCGCCACAAGCACGGCTCTACCCCAATACCGATTTGTCATTTTCTCCTTGTTTCGCACGCAGCAGCAGCAGCAAAAAAAGATCAACGAGCCGGTCGTCGTTGTGCCAGCGGCCTACAGCTGCCCCGTGGACGAAGCAATGGACTTCAAGTGAGTCGACACAACCGATCCTCACCCTTAACATTATTGTTACGCGCCAATGAAAATCGATTAAATCGGCAGATCGCTGGACGTGAGCCTGCCGATGGTGCCGAGACACGCGGATGTACCGACGAGCACCGGGGCGTGCCTGGCCGAGCTGTCGTCCGATCCTTACTCGTGTCCGCAGAGCGAGCCGGTCAAGCGCAAGGTCTACGAGGCCAATCCCGCCGAGCCGGGCGCACTGGCGCACAGACAGGCCGCCGCTTCCTGGCTGCGGAACTCCGATACCGATTGCACGGCTGACCAGCAGCAACAATTGCAATTGCAGGTGAATTGCTTTGTTTGTTTGTTTGTTGTTTGGTTTTATCTCGGTTTCAACAAAATCGGTGACGATAGAACAATGCACGCCTGTTCCAGTCGGCCTCGGCGGCTTCGTCCTACGCGCAGCTGAAGAAGCACGTGCTCATCGAGACTCTGCAGGGCTTGAAGCAGAGCTTGGAGGACCAATCCGCCGCGCTCAAGTTCAGCTGCCTGCGGCCACTCTGAAACTTATAAGCGAACGCCACCGCGACGTTGTTTCTTTCTTTAGTTTATTATTTTTTACGTGCGCGCGCGCACACACACACACTCGCGCGACAAAGAACCAAACTCGAGAGATTTAACGCCGGATTACAATATTGTATTTTCTTCCTCCTCAACTTCCTACACGTGGACTGCCTTGGAGCTATTTTGTGTATCGATGAATTATCATTATTATTATTATTATTATTATTATTATTATCAT